TTTGTTTGTTTTTGTTTATTTTTGATTAAATGAATGTAGTCTTGGTCAGCATAAGTACTAAATAATGTACTAAATGAAGTGCATACATTTAATAATTACAATTTTTTCACTGTTTGAAATGTATTCTGCGTCAAGGGTACGCTGTAGTGTACGGCGTAGGCTACGCACATAGGCAACGCCGTCGTGAGCATTTATACTTCTGCGTTCTTGGTTGCTCTGCAGTACTGCTCCGAAACTCTAGTTGGAGGGTTTTAATTCCTCGCGGCTAGGTTACTACAAGCAATGGCGACTGAAAGAGAGCGGATCATGGTGGAGTTGGAGTTTATTGAGGTGGAAAAACAGTTAATTTTAGTAACATTACTAAAACTAAAAGGCAGAAATGAGAGAAGACTTCGGAGGAGATGGTACATGCAGAAATGCGTAGGAGGAAATGCAATGCTACCAAGCCCACCCATAACAGATCTTGCGGTCCGCACCGTCGTGACGTGTAGTTAAATTTTTGAGGATGTGCGCGTCATGCTACTGCGAAGGATACGCGGTATGGTACGCGTCTGTGCGTATGCTACGCCGTACCTACAACACGCACCCTACGCAGAAGTATAAATTGGCCTTTAGTCGCTATACATGTTGCATAAAGCATCTCGGTGTGTCTCAGCCTTTCATCACTGTTCCAGAGCACTGTCTCTATATCCCTTCCCCCTTCTCCACCTCCCTCACCAAACTCCCTGTGCACCTCTAGGGATGCTAATTAGCCAGACTATATACCTCTCTATCTCTCCCTCCCCTTTTCACTGTCTATCTCTGCGGCCCACTTAGGGACCAAGAACCCCAATCAGACTAATCAGAGCTCTGTTTAGCATTCTGTTTGGGTATCGGCAGCCCAGGATCGCCGGCCTCACTGCCATGCTGGAATTAGCCTAATTGCTCCTCAGCCACTGCCAGCTCTTTTTAGTGCATTTGCAATCGTAAACGGCCCAATACCAGGCATCACAATTATGAAACAACCCCAGACATTAGATGGGGAGAGGGGGTTGGTCGATGCTGGTGACAAAGACCAAAAATCGAACGGACATGCATTGCAACACGCGCTTAGCCCAACAGGTTTCAATGGACATAGCCATTTTAAATGTAGTCTCGCCTGAGAGGAAGTGGTTTAATTTTAGCTTCAAGCATAGCAGCAACTGTTGTTAAAATAGTGTCATTATTCCTTTGACTATCCTTAGATGCCAAGCTGAGTTTTGTCAGATCTCAGAGGAAAAGCAGATGAGAGATGAACAGCTGACAAAAATGCATAAATGGATTCATACCAAGGGCAAACAGCCTCATTAGTCATTATAGGCTTATTATCCTATGAAATGTTGGCACATTCTGCCACTGTTTTATCTCTGCTTCTTCCTTCCAATAAATAAGCCTTTCACTGTTTCAGTTTAAACTTTGAATTCTCCCTCTGCCTCCATACGCCGTTATTGTGTTCCTTCATTCTATCTCTTATTATGACATGCAGTAAGCACTTGAGATAAGTGTTGTGTATTCCTCCATGCATTATTCCCCCATGTTTTTAACACATTTGCTTTGACTGCCATGACAATTTATTTTCCATGTAGAGGTTTAAGGGTTAAAGCAAGACAATATGAAGATAACTGCATGTTAATACAGAGTACATTTACAGTGTGAGAAGACTGACCCTGAAACATAATTAGCCTGGTTACCATGGTTTCTTCCAAAAATAAGGAAGAAGCTCAATTATGCTGTAAGCCATATAATAATTGAGAAAAATAACATTCAAAATCACACTTTTGTTGTAGCCTTGCCAATATTTAGTACTGTGGTATAATTGCGAGTGAGATCATTGCTTTCATACAGCAGCTAAAAGCAATAAATGAATATAAATGATCCGACATCTCAGACACAGTTTGGCCATTTCATTAATGTTTGCTTTGGAAAAAATGGATACAAAAACAAAGCAGGGTTGAAATTGGAATTGCAATAGCATGCAGCAAACGCAAATAAGTGGAGTCAAGTTGCTATAGACTGCCGTTCAAAAGTTTGAAGAAAGCCTGTTAAGCTCTCCATATATTTGATCAACAATACAGTAAAACTTGTAATATTGGGAAATATTCAAATTTAAATTGAAATGTAATTTATTCCTGTGATGACGAAGCTAAATTTTCAGCGTCATTACTCCAGTCTTCAGTGTCACATGATCCTTCAGAAATCATTCTGCTCAAGAAACATTTATTATTATCAATGCTGAAAACAGTTGTGCTGCTTAATACTTTTGTGGAAACCATGATACAATGTTTTTTTTTAGGATTCTTTGCTCAGAAGTGACCTTAAAGACATTTATAATGTTGAAAAAGATTGAATTCTCCAAAAATGCTGTTCTTTTGAACTTCCTATTCATCAACTTAAAGGTGCAATACCTAAGATTTTTGCATTAAAATATCCCAAAATCACAAGGCCAGTGTTATATATTTAGTAAAGATGATAACTCACAATATTCCAAATGTTTCAAACAATGTTTAAATCGCGAGAAAATTGAGATTTTAACCAAGGAAACGGCACGTGTCAGCAGGGGTGAGCTGGGAGTCGCGAGTCAATCGCGTCATATCCGCTTACCTCGGTTTCCGCTCTTACTACGTGTAGTCCTGGACAAATGCGGTAGTTGTAGTTGTGCGTTAGCGTCTATCAAACGACAGCTTGTTTCGCGCATTTGTTATGGAATGGAGCACATATAATTCTTTTCATTTATTCTCGGAATGTGAACTGTTGGCTGTAAAGGGGGTCGCACACCGGACGAGAAGCGCCGCGTCACGTTTAGGACAACTCCAGTAACGTTATCGAACACCGGACGCGCACTTTCTCATCAGTGTATGGCCAGCAATATTGTTATGTTTAATGACAGAAAATGAAGATAATGTCTGTTCTATGTTATGATTGTACTGTACAATTAAATACAATCGTTGCTGAGTCTGCATTCTGAAAACTTTACCTCAGATCATCAATGAATTGAGAATCTCACGTGAAAAATCTAATAATAATCAGTAATTGTCATTCAAGCAGCTGATTTCTGTAAATGACTGCAAAACTAAATGCATAGATATTGCAGCATAGGGCAAAGTCAGGATCCATTAGCAACGGTTTGAGGCAAAAATAATTACAATTTTATATAAAACTGTGTAAATGGCGCTCTGTGGCGCAGCAGGGTTTTGAACACGGTCCTGAAACGTTGCTGGGCGCCGCGGACAGATGTCGAATGGCGCCGCCGGTGTGTGTACACTTATAGATAATAATGTGTTCGAATAATTATGTGGTGCAACGCGGCGCTGAGCTTCTCGTCCGGTGTGCGACCCCCTTAACGTTAATTTTGTGAAACTGTAGCTGTGGTTGAATACTTACACGACATGAAAAGATGTGTCAAATGTACATTGCAGACATCCCAAGTCTCCCGGATCTCCCGCATATTGATAGCGTTTCCCTGATGCCCGCAAATTAGTTCAAATCTCCCGGGATATAATGTTAGAGCGAGACATACTGCGCGCATAACATACAGGCGCGCTGCGCGTGCACTGTACAGAGGGAGAGACTTTGCGTTTGTGCCTCGCGAACGCGAAAGTTAGCCTTCCCTCCCACCCCCACAATCTTGTTATCGAAATATACCTCCCGGAAATGAATTCTTGCAGGTTGGGATAACTGACATTAAATTGATTTTTTATTTTTATAAAGTTACCAAGGAGGGCCAACCACGTAAACTCCTTGCAAGAGACCTGCCCCTTCAAACCCTCTCCACCTTAGCTTCGTCCAGTTACTCGTACAGTAACATCTGTGATAACTAATTTACTTTTAAACCTGACTTTTCTTGCACGGTTATTTCAGTTTAATGAAAAACAAGCATGTCATTAAACGCAACGTTTATAGAAATCGAACTTTACCTCATCCATGACAACTAATTTTCGATTCCCGTCTGATTGATTTATCCACGGTGGAGTTGAAAACAACAGTTCCCATCATTCCGCGTTCCTTCACGGCGTCATCAAGCAAAGCCGTTGTTGTTGTTTTGAATGTAGCGCCCTCTAGCGGCATCTAAATCTTAGGTATTGCACCTTTAACACATCCTCGCTAAATAAACATGAATTCCTTCAAAAACAAGTCACACTAACGTTTGAACAATAGTGTAGGATCTCCTTCAAACAGTATAAAAAAACTTCGGTCTACTTTCATTCATTTCAATTTCTTTTTACTGACAGTGGTGGCTATAATACCAAGTTAATTGTAGTCATATTTACACGTGATACCTTTTTTGTTTTTAAATATGAGTGACACCAGGACGGATTGTATTTGGTTTGGTGTGTATTAGCCTCTACGTTTGTGTATAATTGTTGTGCGGACAGATATAGAAAAACAGCAAAGCAACAGTGGGAAAGAGCACGTCTCACCCACACACATACACTCGGTCGCTCTCTGCTGATGTTGTTGTTCAGTCTGTTTACAGAGGATTAGTGGAACCTCAGGGGACAATATGATGCAAACAAGGGATCAATCTTTTACCTGCTGTGAATGGAAAACCATGCAGCAAACTTTCTCCATTTTTCCATAAGATGGGTCCAAGCATTCGAGTGGCAATAACATTAAGGTCAGCAGCTTAGATGACAAAAACAAAAGCTCATCAGCTCTATTCAGATTTCTATTAATCATCTCGGCAGGAAGTTGGCCACGCTGTAAGATGCATGAAACTTCCTATGGTGAGATTTGATCATTTGGACTCCAAATCACCAATTTCATTAATGGACTGTAGGGTTAAAAGCATGTGGACTCGCTAGTTAAGCCTCTCTGTTGTATTTGAGGGGCAATGCAGGCCTTTCATTATACAAGCTTGATGACTAATGCAATGTTTATGACTGTGTGAGTCAGAATGTAACTTCATTTAAAAACAGTCTAAACACCAGGGAATTTGATCAGAGTCTAAACACGTTGACTTTAATTCGCTCTTAAGGGTTACTGAGGCAAAAACGACAAATAATTCCCTTGTGAAAGAAGAAAAAATTTGGTTTACTCAATTCAGTACCGTGGTTAAATCCTGCTTTACTCAATTAAGCTCAGATGTTATAGTTTCTCTCTCGCCACTCTTGTCATCTTCATCATCAGGCTGTTCTGACAAGGATTGTAATGGTTGTTGAATAGATGTTAAAGAAATAATATTGTTCGGGAACAATTTCCAGTAGATTGCAGTAAGATGGGTGTACGTGATGACCTGTGATGATGACGGAGAGCGGAACTGGCCTTGGGATAGCTGGAGCACTTGCCTAAATGGACTGGGGTTACCGTGGCAACTGTAGGATTTGTCATTGAAGGACATCAGAGGTATAAACAGAAAATGGCTTTTATGGCAGGAGGTCGATTGAGGGAGAGAGGGTGTTTACAAAAGATAAAGACAGATCACATCTGGTGTGGGTTTAATTAGGAGCTTTCATATTGTACAAACAACACATTGGTCTAGCAGAATAACTTGTTTTAGCTTTGGAATGAAATGTTCTTCTAAGCCAGTAATTTTTTTTTTTTACCCATATATTTGTAATGAAGTGCAGCTCTTTGTGCCACACACCGCATCATACTGTGCTGTACATTACCCATACAGTACGTTTCTCAGTGTAGATACAAAAATGACAAATCCTATTGTGACTTTCAGTGCTCAAATGTTTGTTTTGTGGATTTTTTTTTAAGAAATAATACTTTTATTTGCAAGGTGCCATTAAATTGATCAAAATTGACAGTAAAACATTTATAATATAAAATGCATTATCATGATCGTGTGACATTGAAGACTGGAGAAAATTATGCTGGAAATTCAGCTTTGCCATCACAGAAATAAATTACATTTTATAATAGATTAAAATAAAATATTTCACAAATTTACTGTTTTTTTGTTTTGTTTTGATCAAATAAATGCAACCTTGGTTAGTAGTTTAAGAGGAAAAAAAACAACCTTGAACTTTTGAACATTAGTGTATCTGTATCCGTCAATGTTATTTTACAATATTTCTACTTTTTTAATAACTCTAATCTTTTGCAAATCAATTTCAGTGGACAAAATAGTGAAGATTTTGAACATTTATTTATTCATTTACTGATAGTATCAGCCAAAATATCAATAGGCTGCATTTGTATTTTAAAAGTCCCTTAACACTGAAATCATTGATTTACTCACTAATGCCAGTTTCTACTTTTAGGACATGGTGTCGTGAGTGTTATTTTCGGACTTCATGTGGTGATGTGCATGTTTGTTTCAGATCTATCGGCGCTGCTGGCTGGTGTTTAAGAAGTCGTCCAGTAAAGGACCTCGTAGACTGGAAAAATACCCTGATGAGAAATCAGCCTACATCAGAGCCTGTCCTAAGGTATACCTCTCACTGCAACAGTTCTTAACTAATCTAAGCTTTGAAAACGTCACGAGACATGTGAAAGATTCGAGGAAAACATTCAAGTGTCGTTTTATTTCTCCAATTATACTAACAGCCGCGTAGAGCGCATTCATACTGTGAGGGCTGGCTGGCGAGATTACGAGACGGGCGGTGTGTAAACAGATACATTTTTGAATAAAAGTATCTATGTGCAAAGACTCTCATGAATTGCTGTAACTTTGCTGACTCACGGTCCTCCGGTTTCTGTGTGTTTATCGGCCTCATTTGCCTTTCTTGACTGCACTCTGCTGCTATAGACCGTGAAAGATAAATTAGATGATTAAGAGACCGCAAGTGCCTTTCCAAATGATGCGAATGAAGTTTGTCTGAATAACTAGGCTCTGTCAGTACTTTCGAGTTTGCATCGGTTGCCTTTTTTATGCTCACACACAGGTGACAGAGATTAGTAATGTGAAGAACATCACAAGATTGCCTCGTGACACGAAGCGGCAAGCTGTGGCCATCGTCTTTACAGACGACACCTCTCGAACCTTCACCTGTGAATCAGGTACATCATCTTCAACTAAGGCTTGTTGTGCTGCTGCTGATGATGCTTCACTTAAAGACGCTCTCATTCTTAACATTAACATGGCATTAGCAGTCAATACAGTCTGATGATGTGCTGCTCTCAGGCACATTGACACACTGCATCTCCGAGTGTATGTTTTATTCATAGAACACATTCATTGAAAGAACATGCTCATTCATTGACATCATTGAATCTTTCTGTTTTCCCAGAGCTGGAGGCTGAAGAGTGGTTTAAAACCTTGTCTATTGAGTGCCTGGGGACACGTCTTAATGACATCAGTCTTGGAGAACCAGACCTCCTTGCTGCTGGAGTTCAGTGTGAACACACAGGTAAGAGACTAAAACCTGCTGGATCCATATCGTTTTTATTTTTGCTACAGGAATCCAGTATGGCCTCAGATTTGTGACAACATGGTAGCACTTAGTTTAATCTACACTGTCAAAAAGTGCCCTGTTAAATTTACGGTATTGATGGCATATTGATGCCTGTGTATTTTACTGCTTGAAACAATATATTTCAATATACAACAGTTAGTTCTGGTCCTTGAATCTGATTGGTGAAGAAGTCTTCCGGGAGTGCTGATATATCACTGGTATTCAGCAATGGGACTGTTCATCATTTGTCATTACTGCAGTCTAGACAGGCAGTGTTTCTCTCAGCGAGCGGCAATGACGAAGGAAAAAAAGCTACAATAATTCTTAGAAATACTACTAGTCTTGTCGGATTAGTCGGATTGTATAGTTTTAAGAGTTCTTCAGGTGAGAATGTTGCTGTTTAAACCTCAAATCTGTGGTTTATTTATGAAGATGGCACCAATTTGAAAATTTGCAACAAGGTTTTCGCAGTTGTGAGGTCCGGGCACCGGGCACTGCGGTCAGCACTTGTGAGAACAGCCTGATCTCTGAGAGTCCTTTTGACATTTGCCGCTGGCTTTGATGTCTCTGCAGTGGTTCAACGTGATATTTAATTAGTTTTGTGTGTATTTAAAGTGCAATCTTTGATCAATAACAATAACAATAAACAGAAGATACTCTATTATTAACTATAAACTAGATTAGAATCATAAGTGGTGTCAGGGACTTCTGGGAAAATCCACTGGTTTCCATCATACGGTAATTCATAATTTTTTATCATGCAAAAACAAAAATTTGACAGTTTAGTAAATTTAATGCAATATTAAACCATTTACAGTGTTCTTTTACCATATATAATAAGGTAACTTACCGATAACAGGTTAACAGGTTCTTAATAGCCTTTTTCAGTTTTCTTTTTTTTTTCAGTAAGAATTACAAAAAAAATGTACAGCATAGGAACCAAAATATTACCCTTCTTCACTATCAGTCTCGTTGTTTTTTTCTTATAGAGCGCTTCAACGTGTTCCTGTTACCCTGCCCTAATCTTGACATCTACGGAGAGTGTATGATGCAGATCACGCATGAAAACATCTACCTGTGGGATATTCACAACCCTCGCACCAAGCTAGTAACCTGGCCGCTTTGCTCTCTGCGGCGCTACGGACGGGATGCTACACGCTTCACCTTCGAGGCTGGCAGGTAAAACCCGTTCAAGATATCATCAAAATTTAAAGCCAATAACAAGTACCGTTCACAGGAACTTGTGAAATTTGTAATGTGTACTTCACTTTGGTGTGGTCATGTATATGTAGGAGAAACATGGAAGCAGAGGAGGGAGCCATTGAACTGTGGACCTCCTAAAAGGCTTTATTGAGTGGATTACAAGGAGTTCAATGGCAGATTAGGTGTTCTTATCTCTCTCACTGCTTTGATCAAATAATAAAAGAAGATTCGCATCGCCAGATGGATGCCCTTTGAGAGAGGTTTAGAGAGAAGCTGAGTCTGGTGTAACACTGACCCCTAGTGGCTATTTTACTGTAACACACAAAGCATGTGTAGGGTACAGTATATGATATTTCTTTGCAGTACATCACTTTTGCATTGTTTGATTGTGTGTTACTATCTTGTTTGATTTTGTGTCAGGATGTGTGACAGCGGGGAGGGCCTGTACACTTTCCAGACACGAGAAGGAGAGCAAATCTACCAAAGGGTTCATTCTTCTACTCTAGCTATAGCTGAGCAGCATAAGAGGGTCCTTATGGAAATGGAAAAAAACAGCAAGGTAATGAAAGCATACCAAATCTCAGACTAGATGAAAATAGATTTAGTTAAATCGTATTTAAAAAGAAATTTTTGACACTTTAAAATCAAGGCCCATTAAAAAAAAAGTCTGCACTCTTTCTAGTTCGCTATAAACTATTTTTGACATTAACCTTGATGTCTTTGAACAAAAAAAACATTCTTTGAAAGGGGAGTCTCAAATAAATTATATACACTGCTGTTCATATTGATTTATACCGTATATTTGATCAAAAATACAGCAAAAACTTAAATATTCTGAAATGTTATTACAATTCAAAATAATTTTCAGCATCATTACTCAAGTTTTCAGTGTCACATGATCAGAAATCATTTTAATATGCTGATTTGGGGATCAAGAAACATTTATTATTATCATCAATGTTGTAAGAAAGTAAAAGAAAGGAACAATGTGTCTTTACTGTCTCTTTTTGATCAAATTAATACATTTTTGTTGAATTTTTTTTTTTTTTTGAACGGTAGAGTAATTTGTAATGACTGTTTATCCTAGCTAAATAAAAGCATCATCACTTGAGGTCTCAGACACCACTGTACTACAGTTATATGCCCCCACACACTGACACACATACATAGTGCTTATTAAAACAAAACTGGAGAGATTGCAGTGCAAATCATCTGATTTTATTCCCGCAATAGAACTTTTAAAACATCAGAGCTGATACCATACTTTTGTATAATCAACCTAAATTAAATTCTCTTCTCTCCCTCACTCATCTGTCCCCAGCTTTTATCTAAGGGTTCAGAGGGGACATCCTACCCCTGCACACCGACAGCAATCTTACCACGAAGTGCTTTCTGGCACCACATCACCGGATCTCAGGCTGGGGTGGACTCTGCCAACGGTGAGATTCAATCACATGCATAAGTGTGATGTATTTGTTTCACCAGCCATAATAATAGTCTGCCAGAAGTATTGTTGTTTGCAAAGAGTGCTCCTAGAACATGTCTTAAGAAATACAATTTAATACATATCCTTTCAAAGCAGCTTTACAGAAAATAAATGTGTCTACATTACAGTTTAGAGTGATCTGTTATCTATAAGAGAATGAATTCTCTCAAAAACATATTTACTTGTGAATTACTTACTTGTGTTAAGTCAAGTCACCTTTATTTATATAGCGCTTTTTACAATACAGATTGTATCAAAGCAGCTTCACAGTGATAACATGAAAATAATTCAATAAAGTTTGTTTCTCGAAGAAAATTACATCATCGTCCACCTTACTAAAATAGTAAACATTGATAAAGTGAGCATATTGAACAAGTATGAACTTAAAACTATATTATTTGAGCTACTCTGTAAAAAAATATTGTTGGTTTAACTTAAAAAATGAAGTAACCTGGTTGCCGTAAATTTTACGTTCATTGAAATGAAAAAAAAATAAAATGAGTTAAAACACTGAAGGAGATTGATTTAATCATCAGAAACTCAAAATATTATGTTATCGGAACTACGCAAATTATTTAAGTTGATTTGACAAAAGAAATTTTTTTTTTTTTTTTTTTTTTTTTTTTTTACAGTGGTATAACATGTGGTCCACATAATATACAGTGGTCCACCTTTTAAGTAAAGCAGAACAATAACATAGTTGAATATTAAATGTCCCCAACTAAGCAAACCAAAAAAAAAAAAAAGCCAAGCCAAAAGTGGCAAGGAACCAAAACTCCATTAGGTGACAGAATGGAGAAAAAAACCTTGGAAGAACCCAGGCTCAGTCGGGGGGCAGTTCTCCTCTGGCCAACAAGCAAACAGTGTATGATTATGATCCAGGCAGCATTACAGGTCAGAAGTCAGATTGGATCAGAACATTCAGAATATTAATCCAGTTCCATCTGGTTGGAAGTCAGAGTCATCACGCCGGTATGGAGACGAGTTTGTTGAGGATCAATGCCGATGGCTGTCGTGTCAATGAGGCCTTCACAGGGCTGATGAGACTGGCACTTCAGGGATGGGTCCAGGAGGTGCAGGTCCACCATCTTACTTGGATACGGCTGACTACAGTAAACAGGGGAGGGACTGGTTGACACTTCAGGACTGCGTTGTGATCGTGTCTAGGTGCAGGTCCTGCATCAGATCTGGGTCCGGCGGACTGCGGTACACCTCGGATAACACAGAGAGACTAATATTAGCATAGACGCTATGTTATGTTATGATGTAACAAGTACATCAGGATTTGTGGGGAGTGTTCCGGCTGAAGTCTATAATGTGTTATGTGTATGCTATGCCTAAGAGATGTGTTTTTAGTCTAGATTTGAACTGACAGATTGTGTCTGGTTCCTGAACAATGTTAAGAAGATTGTTCCAAAGTTTTGCCGCAGTCGATTTTGATATCCTAGGTATTACCAACTGGTGCCCTGATGGCCTATATACAGTAGCCAGCACAAATAACATGATTTATCATTTACACTATATATTATTACATCAAGCACCAACACTTCAAAAGAATTATATTTGAAACTAGATTTCTTAGTAAATCTGAAAATATTACTATAAATTACCAGCCCATTTCCATCCTTTAGCGTCACATAGAACGCTATATGACAAAACGGCGCTACACTACGCACATGGCACCCTTTATCGTTAATATAACGCGCGAACCCAAGCGTAATATGAGACTACCCTACCCTACCCCACACCTAAACCTACCCATCACAGTGCGTGTTATATTAACAATAACGGGTGCCATGTGCATAGTATAGCGCCATTTTGTCATATAGCGTTCTATATGACGCTAAAGGATGAGGATGCGTTGAAATTACAGTTAGATTCACAATGGTTGGTGTTATAAAGTGAAAATCATTGTAATACCCCATAAATCACTTTATTTTGTGTGTAAGGCAGCTGCTATTGAGACCATCCTGTTAACATTTATCATCTTCATTCAGGTGACATCTATGGTGATACCCAACAAGGAGGGGACACTGACCTCTTCTCTAAACGCCTTCCTCCAGAACGACACTCGACCCTTCCTGTGGGGCACGGCTGCCCCCAACCCCCGACGCACTACCCCACGTACCCCAGCGAGTGAGCGGCTTAGCAGTGAAACCTTCCAGTTTTTCACCTCTTGGTCTCCCTCCACACTGCACTCTGCCCTAAGTTTTTCCATCAGCTCTTTCTCAGCAGGGGAAGATCCATGCTGCCATGCTGCCTCAGTTCCCCCTGAGCCTGCCAGCAACGCTGAGGGCACTTATTGTGGAAAGAGGGAAACGCACTGTGAAGCTTGAAGCGCTTCGATTGGAGCAGGGCCCACAGCAGACCCTCAAAACTGACACGAGAGATGCGAAACAATGTTGGAACTGGCTCAGTCGCCTTCACAGTGCAATATGGTCACTCATGCTGGGTTTCTGTGGGAGTAGAGACTATACTGTAGGTTCTTAATACTTCTCAGTAGTATCTCTTATTCTAAATCTAATCTCATGCACGCTCTTCAACCCTATGCATGTCCCCCAAGGTAAACGGCTTAGCTATGAAAGGAGTTTCTTAGACATCTGTAGAAGCCCCTGCACACTAAGAAACCCCAGTGGAGGGGCTTTCAGAGTTTCAGCTTCTGGGCTTTGGTATAAGTAATCGAAAGCGTGTTTTGATCAGATGCTTTAATCATAATTTGATTGGCATGTCTGTAAGACTTCCCAAGCGCAGAAGACTCTGAGAAACCGGGAGCACTTTCTGAAAGGGTTCATTTTGTATGGTCGTGCATTTTGTTTCTCCTCTTCCCTTACTTTAAAGTGACTAAAATGGACGGTCATAATGTACAAAACTGTCTCTGCCATTTGGACTGAAGTGAGAGTTAGTACTCACTCGCTTGTGTGCTTTGTGGGGGGTTTTTTTGTTTTGTTTTTTTCAGAGACTGGTCCACTGTTTTATCTGGAAGTTTTCGTGAGGGTCAGAGATCCATGTACAGAGGGAAACAAAGGTTATGAATATACTCCCCAGAGGTGTTCGAATGAATTATTTATTTATTTATTGAAGTTTACCAACAAAGCACAAGACAAATTACAGTGTATACTAGTAGGTTTTCTTTAGCAGCTCAGCAGTTCTTCTCAGAGATCTTCAACACAAGGTGGTAGGCCTCACACAAGACATGTTTCATGCTTTCCATGCTTGTCAAGTATTTCCAGTCATTTCCATGAAATTCATGAAAGGGTGCCATAATTCTCATGCTGTAATTCTCAATTTAAGTCCCTCTATGTTGGAGCTGTGGATTATCAGTTTGCACACATTCATAATGAACTGGGTTGCTAATGCAGACAACTGGTGTTTGATCAAGCTGATCGACCAGCATGGTAAAGCTGGTTTACCAAGTCTTGCTGTTGTTTAAGCAGCGTGGTGGGAACACCTGCATTCCCTGTGCTTTATCAACTATCCATAAAGGCCAAAAACTAAATAAACGCATCCAAACGTACAGCTCAAAACAGAAGATGTGCAGTCTCTGTGAATGATCTGATCGACACAGAATTATTTTGGTTGTGTTCTCCAATTGAGCTACAGTCCTGAAGGTTTGACTCCCTGTTATTTTATACATTTTATACATAAATAGTCATTCAGTGTTGGATTTATTAACTCGTACTCGTCTGTACCATCGAACAGCGCTTTACCTGATCTGATTGTACACTTTGATGACAAAAAGAAAGTGGATTTTATCAGGTGCTGTTGCAAACAGTTTAAAAAAATGTGAAAATGGTTTGTTTTTATCATATTTCAACAGTGACTCTGCTCTTTTATTTGAACTTTAGTTCTATTTGCTATGTCTAATTATCAGCCAAATCATAAAAATACAGCCTTGGTGAGCATAATAAAATTCTTTCAAAAACAAAAACCTACCCCAAACTTTTGAGATGTAGTTGAATTGTAGCTCATTGTTGAAATGTTTCCCTGTATGTCCCTGTTTTACATTTTGCACCGTTGTTCTTAATTCTTAATTGCTTTACAGTGCTATCCATTAAAACTATGTAAAAAGAACGTGATTTGTACATGCTGCTGCAATGTGGACACCAAATAATAGTGCATAGACGCACAAAAATAATTCCTTATGATTTATCATTCTTCCCTATTTACCTCATTTGTTTGCAGGAGATATAATAATTCAACATTCACCTAATCACCCTGAAATGAGTTATATATTTGTACATAAACAGCCAATGGGTCCCTGGAGAGAATCTCATTGTGCTTAACAGAACAATCTGTTTGAATTATCAGAGTATCATTTCCATCTCTTTGCAAGACAGAAGCACTACTGTGAAAGTTAATGGTGACATGCGAAATGACACGAGGAAATCGAAAACCAAGGAAATACTACAGATGAAGGCTGTACATGAAATTGTGTGGGAAGTTGTTATACTAGCTTAAATTGCAGTACTCTGTATTTGTAAAAGACCTGTGAACAAGAAGAGTGATAAACATGCTGTTTTGGAGGCTTTGCCAGTTCTTCGGCAGTTTAGATTGACCTCTGAGAATGTTGCCATGAGAAGGAACCCTTTGCATGAGTTTTAATTGCTAAATGACGTGTGTTCTGTATCATTTGTGGTAAAATATTTTGCAGGGTTTTTCTTTTTTCAATAAAACAAAGTTTTATAAAATCGGATGTCATAATGATCCTTTTGATGATGATGATCCCTTTAATCAAGATGTAGGCAGTTATTTATTTTAGTTTTGAACTGTATGCGTTTCAGAAAAGTACCAAGCACAGCAAGTAATTTATGTCCTGAAATACTACACAGCCAAGTTAACCATTTTACCAGCCACTCACCATTATTCACTCTTGTATTCCACAGTTGTCATAATCACATTAGCCAACTCTTTATTAACTAAAATGCAGAAGGATGGATGCTATGAAGCATTAAGGACTCCTCCCTTTCTCTGTAATAGCGTTTCTTCATCAGTTACTGCTAACCAAAATCAGCCAAGAGCCTATGTGTCAGGTAAAACTTCCATTTCTTCTCTCTTACCTACAAGCACAGTATTCATGTTTTTTCTGAGGATTCATACATGTAGAGTTGTAAATATTATACATGTAAATATTATTGTTAATGTTGTTTGGAATATCTAACAGAATGTCTAACCTTGATGATATTATTATAGTTGATATTATTGATATTATTAGAAAGTTGAGATGTTTATATATTATATTATAAATATAGTATTTTTATTCCATTTTATTTCTGATTTCGGCAAGCAGACTTTTTGCATTTTATACCCAGCATTTAATTTCTGGGTTTAATTTCTGAAGCAGCAACATAATTACATTTATGAAATGTAGGGCTAGGGTTAACCATGTTTATGAGATGATTATTAAGGAAAGCATTGTCAATCATTTTCTAAACTGCCTGTTAGTGGATGTTTCTAATAGCCTATAGCACTGTAGCAAAGAGATGTATAAAGTACTAGAAAAAGGAAAAGTACAAGTGCTCTATCAAAAAAGTGACTTGAGTAGAAGTTGAAGTGCTCTTTAAGCACCACACTTAAATAGAAGTACTAAAGTATTCAACATTTTTTGTACTTAAGTATTGCAAGTAGTTTATTTTAAAATTCACTACTTGAGTATTAAAAGAACAAGTGTTGTGTCATGCAATTATTAAAGAAAGCAGTCAAAAGTTTGAACTAGCAATCAAATAAGGCACTTTAGCGGAATACAAATTTGCTTTGGCGGCCGCCAAAAAAAGTCATTGCAGGACAACCCCTGCATTAGTTGTCAATGTGTGTGTCAGTCAATACCATTACCCTATAAAAGTGGCGTGTGATTTAGGCAGCATGAAAGCCAACTTGCAACGAATGATTCGTAAACTTTTTATAGTTGTAACGAGTAACTAGCAGAACATTAAAAAAATATTGAAGTAAAAGTATTAAATTCATCGAAAATATCTACTGAAGTAAAAGTAGAAGTAAGAGAAAAAAACAATACTCTAGTAGAGTACAGATACAGCATTTTAGTACTTAAGTACAGTACTTAAGTACTTCGTTACTATACATCTCTTGTGTTTCAGTACAAAAGGAGTGTCACTTTCACAAAAATTGATGGAGAGCACTCTACACCACAACAAATAATTAAGGTATGCTTATATATTTTTTTAGCATAAAAATAATTTAAATAATTGCTAAGTAATGAAAATTAGCTATGTCAAGTGTCTTATAGATTTTGCAAATGTATGTAATGTGTCATATAGGCCCACTTGAGCTTACAATACAGCATACAACTTAAATGAAAAAAGCCAATTAGATGAGTTTGAATCGAAAACAGATTTCAGTTTGAACATCTTAATTTACAGAACATGGCCTACCCTGAAACCTCAACCAAGATGACACAGTTAGAAGTAAACCATTTCAATTGGTTACTGGGGGACTTCAATTGGACATCTGTGAAGAATGTTTTCTGTGTATCTTCATCTGAAATGTTGGCTATATGGATTATTTTCTCCATTGAGTTTCTTGTCATGTCTCTGGCACTCTACGGATTGTGCTGTCTGCTTAGGCCTGACAATACGGTTCCTATATTTGTCATAAACCTTTTTGTATGTGATATCATACAGATTTGTGTCAAGCCTGTTGTGCATTTTTGTACACTGAATGGTCTAGTCTTTTTTATCTTTTATGTTTATGTCATGAGCGTAAAAGTTAATATTGGCTTCATGGTCTGTATCTCTTTGGAAAGATACATAATGATCAAATACCCTGTTTGGTACAGACTTCATCATACTTGTAAAAATTCACTTCTGATATGCTTGATAGTTTGGGCAGTATCATGTGGATATATGGCGATTGATGTGATTATTGCATTTAAAGGCAGTTTGGAAATTGCATTTATTCTAAATGTATTTCTTTTTTTGCTGCCTTATCCACTGGTTGTGTTTTCCTTTGTGGGTTCGTGGAGGGCTCTCGCTCAGTCAGTCGCAGTCAGCCCTGATGAACAGAAGAGGATTTTGAGGATTCTGGCTCTTGTTCTTTTCAATTACACTGTGTTGTTCCTGCCAACCATTGTTCAAAACGGAATTTTTGCTATATCCTTTAAGAGCGGAATAAGTGGTTATTATGATTGTTTTCGTTCAGTGTCAGGAATCATGTTGTATTTAAATCCACTCGCTGACTCTTTGCTCTATGTTTTCATAAGAAAGGATGCTAATAACATGCTTAGATATTTGTGTTGTAGGAAGCTGCATGAAAATCAAGTGTAGCCCTTCTATTCTCCAATTGAGAAACTGCCATGTTAAGTTACTGTGTTTTTGCAACATGACATCATGACTTTTGCGTAAACATACACGCCACTTTCGAGTCAAGTGGCATGTTATCTATACAATTGAAATGAAAGCCCTGCATTTTGCTATTAGGCCACAAATGGCAATTAACAAAATGTGTATAAAGTTTCATTTGAGTCATTGAACAGTATCAATAACCAGAGCAGGAAGCTATTTATTGCATTTTAACCACTTTACTGAGTCCTCCTCATCATTACTCAAATTTGAAATGCAACAACATCTCTCAATCCATCTGAGTTTAAGTGATTTCAGGAAAAGCTGGTCAAAAATTAATCGGATTGCATGATAAAATGCTCAGCTTCTCCCTCTCTATGCTGTTTCTTCATGTTACTTTCCACCATAATCAACCAGCAGCAGCTAGGTAAACCCCTTTCTTTGCTCTTTAGAGTCATTGTTCATTGTCTTGGGAAATATTTGTTAGAATATTATTCTTATTTTGAATTAATTGTGTATTAAAATGTGTTCACATCTAATTTTATTAGGCAATGCTTTTACTTTGTGTTGTAAAAGTATATTAACAGACTAGCCTTTGGGAATTTAAATATTTTATGTACTGTCAAGAATGAATGAATGAATGAGATCTGATTCTATAAAGAGAATGTAGCAAAATTCTGTATTTCAGATTAGGAGTGTCACTTTCACAAAAGCTGATAGGACAAAGTGAAATAGTCACCATAAAAACAAGGTATGTTTGGACATGTTTCTTGTGCTCTAAAAAATGTAAATGGCAAGTTTGATTAGCAATTTACAGTGAACTTGAATATGTAATGCTTATAATGAGAAGATTCAATGATGAATACATATATCTTTGTGCACTTTTATAATGCTACTGCAGCCTCTTTGTTTTGTTTAGAAATGAAGCTCCTCTAATCTGTTTCACACATTTTCATTATCAGTAAAACCACTATTGAAATTGATCTTCATGTAACATGTCTAAAAAAACTTGTAAACCTGTTGTAATTTGCACATTTATTGAATCAATATTGTCTCTTTCTGACAAAGAACTGAACAATGAAACATGTAAAACTATAGCTGACATTGATATTTGTAAAGGGCTTTGGCATTCATCTGTGGACTACTTTTTTTAATTTCCCAAAAATGTATTTTTCTTAACAGATCAAATTCAAAATTCCCCTTTTTTGTTATAGTTCGAACATCCAGAGCACATCCAAGACACAGAAAATGCTTTATGGAACATCAACTAATAGTAATTTCCAACTGGATCTAAGCCAATTTCCATGGGAAATTGAAGATTTTAAGTGGAAATTTCTGGAAAAACTGTTTTGTGTGTCCAAAATTGAAGCTGTGGTAATCTGGATTATTTTCTCCATTGAGTTTCTTGTCATGTCTCTGGCAATCTATGGATTGTGCTTTCTGACCAGACCTAGCAGCACTGTTCCCATTTTTGTCATAAACCTCTTCATCTGTGATGTCATAGAGATTTGTGTCAGACCCATCATGAATTTTTGTTCATTCAATGTTATAATTGTACTTATCCACTACATTTATTCCATGAGCGTGATAGCTAATGTTGGCTTCATGGTCTGTATCTCTTTGGAAAGATACATAATGATCAAATACCCTGTGTGGTACAGACTTCATCATACTTGTAAAAATTCACTTCTGATATGCTTGATAGTTTGGGCAATATCATGTGGATTTATTGTGATTGATGTGATTATTGCATTTAAAGACCATGTGGAATTTGCATTTATTCTAAATGTATTTCTTTTTTTGCTGCCTTATCCACTGGTTGTGTTTTCCTTTGTGGGTTCATGGAGGGCTCTCTCTCATTCAGTCGCAGTCAGCCCTGATGAACAGAAGAGGATTTTGAGGATTCTGGCTCTTGTTCTTTTCAATTACACTGTGTTGTTTCTGCCATCCATTGTTCAATCCATAATTTTGTCACTATCCTTTGAACATGGTCTTTATGATAATTTATTCACAGTGTCAGGGATCCTAATATACTTAAATCCTCTCGCTGACTCTTTGCTGTATGTTTTCATAAGGAAAGATACTAATAGCATGCTTAGATGTTTGTGCTGCGAAAAGCTATGTGAGAATCAGACACGGATAGACGACTCCTCCAGTTCTAGGACAGAGGTACAAATCAATGTCCAAACATACAGAGAAAATACCATACTCTGAGTGAGTTTCATCAATCAACAGTTTTGTTGAAACAAATGTAATATGGACTCTTATAAAAATGTAGCCTAATTTGCTATAGGCATACAATCATCTATACATCTATATACAATAATAATCTTTTATTATATAGATCTCTCTGTATAAATGGTATCCTTATCCTACCCATTGTGTTATAAAAACAAAGAGTAAACATTTATATTCCACTCAATTTTTCTTCATTAAAAGCCTAACTTATATTTGAGAAGTGTTATCTTTGAATTATTTTCTGCACTGATCTACTGCGATACAAAACAACGTCTTTTATCTACTTTGTTTGTCTACAGACCTTATTCAGATAGAGCAGCACCATGGCACAAGCGAGGGACAGTGTTTTCAATGGCATCCGCTGTAAAAAGCTGTATAGTGCTCCTTGATTATTTTACACAGCTCATGTTGTCTGGGTTTCACAGAAAGATATTTTGCAGTATCAGCAGAACAATTAAAGAACACTTTAATTATGTGTTATTATATGTTATGCTGCACATAACACTGAAGCGCAATATTTTCCCCTGAATAATTTGCTCTCTCTGCTGTTTTAGATCAATCATGATTGCTTAAAGCTGCAGTTTGGTGTTTTTCCTCTTTGTCGCCATCTCTGTTCGAAATCTGCAATTGCAGTCATTCTTTGGAATTATTAAGTTTTACTTCAACACCCTCGACACGGCACATCGTGGATAAACACAATGTTGGAGGAGACTGTTAGGCTGTCAGTCGCTGCGCCGGTGTGGATACTGGTATTCATAATCACAGATTATTCTTTTTGGAAGTATGGCCAACATAATAATTTTCACCGGAAAATGTTCTGGTTCTGACATTGCAGTAAAACGCGCTGATTAAATCTAAAAATCGCTTATAATAACTAAGTTACCATATCACGCAAAACCATGCAAATTATACCTTGATCTCAAATTGTTAATGTTAACAACGTTGCATTGCGTACATGTAATGTCTTTACGATATGTATCCTTGTTTTCGCATGGGTCCGGTTACAGTCTTTTTTTTTTCTGCAGCCATTCTGAAGTCAGGTGTTGTGCCGAATTTCGACCCCCGCCAAATTATTACCCCCCTAGCATTGGTAGGTTTAGGATTAGTTGTGGGGGAGGGGGTAGGATTAGGGTCGGGGTTGGGATTAGGCAATCAGGTACTGACTTCAACGAGGGGGGTAATAATTTGGCAGGGGGTGGAAATTAGGCACAACACCGGAATGAAGTCTTATTTTACAGCGGGTGAATCTCTAGTTGTCACTGGTGATTGTCGTTTGAACCTTTCTGGATCCGCCATCAAATTGATAAGTTTAAATATATGTTTATGTTTAATTATATTAAGTGAGAAAGGGCTATAAATCTCCACCTCCAACATCCTCACACGTGCTCCCCATGAACACTGGCTAGTTATGTATTTTCTCAAAAATGTATTTTGAATAATTTACCGAGACAATAGACTGCAAAGAAAAGTCAGAGACTCCTTCTTTATGCGTACAGATGTGACGATGACGCAAAGACATGCTCGACTCTCCTGTGGAAATCCACCAGTAAAAAACTGACAATAAAAAGCTGACTATGAGTTAACTGAATTTCAAAATTCAGTATTAACCCATATAGTCAGTCTATGGTGATTATAATAAGCAATCATGGTTTATTGATTTATTATTTAGATGTATGTGTGCATTAAAAGTAATTCGGCAAGGAGAACAATGGTGTGCCAAATGAAAATAAAGAATTTTGTTGTATGTAAAAATTTCATGTATGTACACTTTCACAAATCTTACCCTGTGCATGCGATTCTTTATGGCATCTTATTACCTCCATATTGTCTGCTTGGCATCTTATATTACCTCCAATTATGTGTCTGCTTGCTGCCTGCCACCTGCCAACAACGGAAGATTCAACTGCCTCTAGTACGACAAGCAAACAAGTGTGGGTGTCGCGGCCGGTCTCTATGGAAACCAGGCAAACTTCACGAGCTGTTTCAGCATACTCACGTTTACAGTTAGGTCGGTGGGTACGTTCATATATTTCTTTATTATTATTTTTTTTATTATTATTGTTTATCATTGCGAAATGCAGACAAAAATGACTAAACTATCAACAACACTGAACGCGGAGGTAGAAACGGGTTCTGAAGAAAAAGACACGAGCGAAGTTGTTGTGTCTGTCGCTCCAGGTAACTTTTACTTCTTGTTAATATTCAACGACCATCAACAAAATAACAGACTTGTTATCAAAAACAACAACTATCAACAGTAAATCATTTTTTGGAATATAGTGCTAGTTAACGTTATAACGTCTTTTTTTTTTTTTTGTTCAAATTACATTTTCATCAAAAATCTAATATTTAACTCTGTCCATCATTTTATACTCAACCCTGTTACTACATTATTTCACATTCCTTAAAATGTTGAACAGGCTAACGTTAAGGATTTCCTGAAGGTTAGGTGCCTGCTTTTACTGATCATTTCTTTAAAGAAAAAAGAAAAAAAAAAACTTATAAATATACATATAATTTCCTAATTTGTATCATTTTGAAGAAAATTTTAAACAGTAAAAAAATGTATTTCAAAGGCCAGGAGTCTCAGAGTGGGGATGCTGATGGGACAAAGGTTAATGGTGATACAGTAGAGACCAAAACATCAGAGAACAGAACAATCTCTCCAGGTCCCAGGTGATCAAGTGCAAATGACCTATATGATATTTGCTCAGAATAAAATCGATTGTTGTCTGAGAAGAATACTGAATGATTTTACTTGTATCTTTCAAGAATCACCAAAGAGTTTTTAAGGGAGCAATGCAAGAAAAACAAACTGTACCTGACGCCAAGGCTGAATGACACTCTTTATCTTCACTATAAAGGTTTGAAATTTTGTATGCAGAAGAGGTTACTTCAATGTTGCATCTTTGTTTTGTTGTTGTTTTTAGCTCTTTATACAAAGTTTTCAATTCTACATTGTAGGTTTTTCTTGTATTGAGGGATTGGAGGACTATACCGGCCTGCGCTGCCTATGGCTGGAATGTAATGGCATTCGAAAGATTGAGAATCTTGAGAATCAGACAGAGCTTCGCTGTCTGTTCCTCCATCAAAACCTCATTCATACTCTGGAAAACCTGGAACCACTCAGCAAGCTTTGCACTCTGAATGTCTCAAACAATTATATCAAGGTCATTAAGAACATATGTGAGTACACACAAAAGTAAACGTGGTAACAAAATGTATTGCTTGTTCTATGTTCTTAAATATTCCTTAAAGTCACTCATAAAGTTCACCTTTGTTTTTTTCAGCCTGCTTGAGTGAGCTGTCCACGCTGCAGATCTCCCATAACACACTGGAGAATGTGTGTGACATGGAGGAGCTGTCACACTGTCCATCCATCAGTGTTCTTGATCTGTCTCACAACAGAATTAGAGATCCAGCTCTCATCAGTGTTCTAGAGAGAATGCCTGACTTGGTAAAAAAAAAAAACAAAAAAACAGTATATCCGTCATATACATGATCAGATATGCCTACTTCCATCTGTGGACTGAACTGCTGAGAGTTAATTCTTGTTTTGTTTTTTGTTTTAACAGCGGGTGTTAAATCTAATGGGTAATGAGGTCATCAAAAAAATCCCAAACTACAGGAAGACTCTGATTTTTCGTCTAAAGAACCTGACCTATCTAGATGACCGGCCTGTTTTTCCAAAAGACAGGTTAGCTGCAGTGTTTTCTGTGCTAAAGAGCTAAATAGCATCAATTGAGTGACAACTGGCATTGTCAATTTGGAGAGGAATAGACCCCACAAAACTAGTCTTTGTTACTATTTAGAGGCTACAGTTGAAACTTTTCTATAATAATTGAAGTTTGCTTTTATTTACAGAGCATGTGCAGAGGCATGGGCTGCTGGTGGTCTGGAAGGTGAACGAAAAGAAAGAGAAATGTGGCAAACGAGAGAAAGAAGGAAGATCCAGGAAAGTTTGGATGCAATGACTGCTATCAAAGAGAACGCACTGAAACGACGGGAGGCTCGAGAGCATTTGGAGGAAGGTAAACACACAATCTCTTCACTTATACACTGGCGTTAAAAAGTTTGGGGTCAGTAAGATTTTTACTTTTTAATACTTTTATTCAGCAAAGATGCATTGAATTGTTCAAAAGTGACAATAAAGACTTTTACATTGTGACAAAAGATCCATCAAAGAATCCTGAAAAAAGTATAAAATATTAAGCAGCACAACTGTTTAACCTTGATAATAAAAATAAATGTTACTTGAGGACCAAATCTGCATATTAGAATGATTTCTGAAGGATCATGTGACCCTGAAGACTGGAGTGATGGTCCTGAAAATATAGCTTTGCTATCACAGAAAAATAAAAATAAAACACTTTAAAGATATTTAAAATTGTAATAATATTTTACAATATAACTATTTTTACAGTTTTTGTGTTTAAATGTTTAAATTTGTATAAAAATAAGAGACAAACCCAACTTAAGACTTTTGAACAATACTGTATACAGTAAACACACTCATATTTTCTTCGTCTTCTATCTGACATATAGCATCATTAAAAGCTTATGGTTTACCCTCAGGAATCACAGAGCCTTCCATTTCTGTTATTGGGGATCAGAGCCCTCAGAACGAAACACCAGCGATTGCACCTGCAGAGAGTGACAATTCAAAAACAGCACAGGAACAAACCGACCCATCAGCATCAGAGACACACCACATTTGCCAGTCTGGATCTGATGAGGAACAGATTATCCAAACATCACTTGATCAAAATCATTCCAAGCAGTCTAAATCAGAGAGACAGCAAACAGGTTTAGAACAGATTCTCCATCCATCGTTTGACCAGGAACAGACTGGTCAAACAGCAACTTTGGGATTGAAGAGTAAAGAGGAAAAGTGCCAGAAAATGCAAGCTCAATACCAAGGCACAAAACCCTCACAGTCACATGACAGCGGTTCAGTTGCTGGTCCTGGTGCTCTCATCACTGAACTGATCTCTGAGGATGAAATAGAGACTATCGTCCTGTCAGAGATACCAGCATTAACAATTGATGTGAGTCCTTACACCATTGCTCACATTATTATAACCTACATTTGTTTTTACAAGAAATTGCATGATTTAGAATTTCTTTGCAATGTATATTTGATTTATAGAGAAATTACAGTTCTTGGGTGTTTTCACTACTAAAAACATTTTCTGATTCTCCCAAGGATCTTCCAGATCTTGAAGAAGAAGAAAGTAGCCAGATACTCCAAGCAACATCACAGGTAAGAACAGGGTAAAAAAACTATATTCAATGTCAATGATACTAAAATTAATACTGGATGAGAGAGCATATATAATTAGCATGTTATTTAAAGAGTTGTGATGGAAAATCACATCTTAAATGGAAAGTTGTGGAGATTAACATTTTGAAATGTTACATTTTCCAGAGTGTCGTCCGTCCTAAGATTCAGGTCATCTCTGACGAGGAAACAGAATCAGAAGCTCTTACAAGTTTGTATAAGTGGCCTCAGTTAGACGCTGAGGCCGCTGACCAATCGCAGCTGCTTATTAGTGTCTCCACTAAAAGAACCTCAGTCAAGCAGAGCCCTGATTGTATCAGTCAACTAGAGGCAGGGGATAACCTCCCCAAGACAGCAGAAACTAGAAAGATGATTCTAATTGAGGAACTGGACTGAGTCTTTAAGTTTACTAATGGATGAAACTATATTATAGTCCCTTTAGCACAAATCTTGGATGTGAATTTGAATTGGATATCTACCTGATATAAAAAAAAAGGTGTTAAACTTTAAATGACAAAATCACATTAATAATTTCATTTAAAATAATAATAAATAAAATATAGTAATTTTGCAATAACTTTATTGCAGATATTGTAAATGTATTTTGTTCAAACAAATTCCAGAATTCTTTGTTTTATTTTTTTATTTTTACACAACCTACATATATTAAAAGACGTTCAAACCATTAGTTTTCAGTACAGAACTTTACTGATTGCTTTAATAGAAACACTAGTTGTAAGAACTTGAGCATGAAGTCTATGCAGATATGTGTGTGTAGCGCTGTCATTGGCATCAGTTCAGGTTTGTAAATGGATAGGTTACATCCGAAGCAGCAGGAGAAGAAAGAAACATGTCATGAGCAGCTCTTCACTGACTGAGTGGCTGACAGAACGGGCGAGTCCTCTGAGGGTTTCCTGATTGGTTTGGTCAGTGCTGGGAACCAGAGGTGTGGTTGCAGTCACAGCTTGAGTGCGACTGGCACACGTGTCGTAGAGGTTCCCAGCAAATGCTGTTTTCCGGGACTCTGCCCTCAAAGATTCCCAGATTTCAGCTGCATCGCCACGGCAACCTGACAATACACCACTCACACACATCTGGAAGGCATCCCATGACCTGCAGATGTAAAAAACGAAACTAATGTAATGTAATAAGATGAAAAATATTGTAGTTGTATTCAGTGGAGGTGTTTTTGCATGTGCATGGGTCTCACTTGCAAATGGAGTTGATGTCCTGTGGGTTATCATTCATGGAGCTCACACTGTCACCCAAAGTGACCAGACAGTCAGCAAAGCCTCTGTATACAGCACTACATGAAGGCGTTACTGCTGCACCCAGCACCGAGGAGCAGAGACCTGAGGAAATTAAAAGTAAGTCTAATGATATGATATGACATTTTGGTAGAACTTATGCAGTGAAAAAAATCTCAGGCCTACAATGTTGGAGTAATAAACAATTAAGGCAGATGCCTTATTGGGTCTAATCCTCAGATTCCTCTCTATGGTGTGACGAATCCGATCTCCAAAAGGGAGTGTATGAAATAGTTGAATACTACGATTGTGATGCAGCCTGAATCATAGTCACTGCTTTATAGATTAAATTAACTCATTTAATAATTTATGATACTTACAATTCATCTGAATCAACTCTGAACTGACTTCAGATGAACAAAGACACTGTTTTCTTTAAGAGCTACTGTACATCTAAAATGAACTCTGTTTGCACCATTGAATCGTTATTTTCCTGTAGATTATTGTAAAGCTGTTTTGAAACAATCTGCACTGTATGGAGATGACTTGAATTGACATGATTGTAAATGCACAGTTATGGCATATATTGACAAAATGCTAAGAGACATACACTCAACTAAAAGATTAACACCAGTTCAATTTCTCATCAATGCAATAATCTAATGAACAACCAATCAAATGGCAGTTGCTTCAGTGCATTTAGGGATGTGGTCCTGGTCAAGACAATCTCATGAACTCAAACTGAATGTCAGAACAGGGAAAGAGAGGTGATTTAAGCAATTTTGATCATGGCATGGTTGTTGGTGCCAGACGGGCCGGTCTGAGTATTTCACAATCTGCTCAATCTGCAATCTGTTTTAGGCCCCTAGTGCCAATTGTTTAAATGCCAGGGCCTACTTGAGCAATGTTTCTGACCATGACCATCCCTTTATGGCCACCATGTACCCATCCTCTGATGGCTACTTCCAGCAGGATAATGCACCATGTCACAAAGCTTGAATCATTTCAAATTGGTTTCTTGAACATGACAATGAGTTCACTGTACTAAAATGGTCCCACAGGCACCAGATCTCAACCCAATGGAGCATCTTTGGGATGTGGTGGAATGGGAGCTTCATGCCCTGGATGTGCATCCCACAAATCTCCATCAACTGCAAGATGCTATCCTATCAATATGGGCCAACATTTCTAAAGAATGCTCTCAGCATCTTGTTAAATCAATGCCACGTAGAATTAATGCAGCTCTGGAGGTGAAAGGGGGTCAAACAGTATTAGTATGGTGTTTCTAATAATCCTTTAGGTGAGTGTATGTACAGAGAGTGTGGCTACATGGCAACATTCTATTGTGTCATATATTCTATATGTTCATGAGTGTCTACATCTCTATACTGTTAGATGTAACTGTACATCACATGGATTAATCTGAGGATTATACCCAGAGCAAAAACAACATTTAATCTCACTACAGAACAGCTCGAAAAGACAAATCTCCATTTTTTTTCTCAACTCTAAACATTTGGTATGTTTATCTTAACAGAAATATAAATTATTTATACATTCAATAGTTAAGATACATTAGATACACAAACTAAAGCTATTTCTGAGCATAAAAAAAGTGTCCAAGTTTTATTCTTTTTATGGGGTGTGTGTGTGTGTGTGTGTGTGTGTTTGTTTGTGACCGTGGCCACTGATTTACATGAATTAAAAATAAAAATAGAAAAATTTGAAAAGCAAAAAGCTATTTTAGATAAAACTAAAAATATATTACATTAAATATAATTTAAATTATGCATAATACAGAATATATTGAAAATGTAAAAAATAAAATATTAAAATAATACTTTAAATTGCATACACCATAGCCAACATAGTTAAAAATAAAATGTTCTTTATAGTGCAAAAAGGTCATTAAAACATTTATAATCTTTGTGGAACCCAAAATGGTTAATCTAAGACATTGCTGAATTTAATTTCAAGAGTGTATGATAATTGTGAGACACATTATAACATTATAGCCCTACACACAAACACAAATAAAAATAGACTTTTACTCACTGAGGCAGAATGAAATGAACAGCAGTAGATGCATTCCGTTGAAGAGAGAATTTTGAACTGAAGACGGCATACACTGGAACATTTACAGACATTCACAAATCATCCAAACCTCCTTGAGTTGTCCCATTCACCTTCCTATTTCACAAAAGAGCTGCAACTTTGAAGACAACTGTTGAGCCTGATTGATAAAAGGGGGGTTGTTAAATCTGATTATTAAAAAGGGGGGAAGCTATTGGATTAAAGATCATTTCCGGCGATCAGAAAAGAATAATATACCTCCTGTGACAATGGTTTGATATGGCTTGGATAATCAGTCTCTCTCTCTCTCTCTCTCTCTCTCTCTCTCTCTCTCTCTCTCTCTCTCTCTCTCTCTCTCTCTCTCTCTCTCTCTCTCTCTCTCTCTCTCTCTCTCTCTCTCTCTCTCTCTCTCTCTGTCACACACACGCACACAAATATACAAACAGATGGAAAAAAATCCCAGTAGGACTGGCTTTTTAATTCCAGCATGGCACTTTCTAATACACACTCAGTGGGCAAGTCTCTATTTTACTGACATGCTTGGATTATGGCATTGCGTAAATCTAAGGGGAGAGGAGAATAAACATGGATTAGTACCTCTTACATAAAGCCATTACTATCAACTCTCATTTTCTCTGTTCCTGAGCCTGTCACTGTTTCCTAGTATTCATCTTCCATGTTTTTGGACATGGGATAATGGTAGTAACTTTGAATTCTAGGCTACTACCGGTATTTAAATGGTAGGCTATGTATGACTATAGGCCTATATCATTCATACCAATACACAGCCAAGACAAGTGCAATATTATCGTATGATGGCATCACTGTGAAGCAACAGTGATTTTTATATTCGAATGTCTCCTAAACTATGCTGAAACCCAAATTCTTGATTAGGCCTATATTGTAAAATGCCTAAAGCCTCCATGAGCAGGCATTTTTTTTTATCAGGCCCCAAAAGCAACATGTGTTGTGATGATAGCCTACATAATTATGAAATATGGTAGAGAATAATAGAATGCAATAATAGTAGTCTATATCTTGTGTTGGTTACTTTCTGAGAATGAGAGTTATTTTTTGTGTTGCACGCATTTGCTTAAAAAAACTACCATTAGGTGGGAGTAAAGTCGCTTACTAACAGTTGAATGTATGACGCACTAGAATCAGCGGAAGTGACGCAGTTTGTGTGGATGTGGGACTGTCATGGATGAAGTTGGTTCACCGGCGCGCCGTCACGGTGGTCCGGCGGGGCTCTCCGCCGTGCAGTTCGACACCATAGAGGGTCTGACAGAGCTGGAGGATCTGGAGCGAGTGTATGCGCAGCTATGTGCCGAGGAGGTAACGGAATTATTTATTAGTGGAAAGACAGGGTTCATTAGTCCCTTTGAGCTTCATGACTAGTAGGATGGGTAGATAAAGACTTTTTAAAATACTTTTTATGACTAGGATGGGTAGATAAAGATAAAGACTTATAACGGCTTGTGTTAGTTAATTTATTATGTATAAAAATTGAGTGTGTGCCTGAATGGCGTGTGGATGTTGACTGTACATTGGCATGAATAGCAAACACAAACACACCTCTCTGACAGGCGGAAGTGGAGGTGGAGTTGGGCGCTCTTATGGGGCAGCAGAGCAACATAGAAACAAAGATGCTCGCCCTGCACAGGATGGGGTGAGTGTACGTGTTTAACACCTAACTTATGCTTTTAAATGAAAAAAATAGAATAGTGTGGTTTTAAATTGTGTGTGTGTGTGTGTGTGTTTTCCTCAGACCAAACTTGCAGCTGATCGAGGGAGATGCTGTGCAGCTTTCCGGCATGATCAACTTTACATGCAGCCTGGCAGAGAACGTCAGCAGCAAAGTCAGACAGCTGGACCTCACCAAGGTGGCCAACATACACATTCTCATAATGATATGTATGTCTATCAATTAGACCGCATCCACTCAAGCTTTACTCCTGTTTTTTGCGGTTCTGTTTCAGAAAAGGCTGTACCAAGCAATTCAGCGGGCAGATGATATTCTAGACCTGAAGTTCTGTACAGATGGTGTTCAGACTGCCCTGCGTAACCAGGACTATGAGCAGGCTGCCGCCCATATTCATCGCTATCTTTCTCTTGACCAGTCAGTGATTGAGCTCAGCAAGCAAGGTGGAGAGGGTGAGTACTTTTTGGGCTATTACAAGCAACTATTGCAATGAACAATATGTTACATACAGTTATGCTAATTGCAAAGCACATATTGCTTAAACCGATATGCACAGATACTTAGAAGTCAGATGTTTGTTTTACTATCTTTCTGTATGCTATACACTGTGCAGGTAGTGCAGTTGAAGCCAGTCTTGAATTGCTGCAGGAAGCAGAGCGCAATCTGAAGGTGTTGGTTACAACACGACTGGAGGAGGCGGTTGCCACGGGCGACTTGCCTCAAGTGGAGCGCTTTTTCAAGATCCTTCCTTTACTGGGACTCCATGAGCAGGGACTTGCACGCTTTGCTCAGTACCTTTGCAGTCAGGTAGGAGCATGTGTGAATGTCCAGTCTGAGTGTCCAGTGAAATCCGTTGGTATTAAGACTTGTGTTGTGTATTTTGCTCGCTTCTTTCAGTTGGCCAGTAAAGCAGAGGAGAACTTACTCCTGGCTGTTGGCTCTGATCTTGGTGAACGCAGAGCACCGGTGATCTTTGCTGACACCCTCACTCTGCTGCTTGAAGGTAAGAGCAGACGCAACTTGGCAATATTTTTAATTTTTAAATGAATCAAGATCAACCAGCCTTTGTCTGTATCTGTTATACAGGTATTGCACGCATTGTTGAAACCCATCAGCCCATAGTGGAAACATACTATGGACCAGGCCGACTGCACACACTCCTTGCACATCTTCAGAAAGAGTGTGACAAACAGGCTCAGAAAATAGTGGACAAATTCATCCAACAGAGAGATTACAACAACAAGGTGTGTGTAGTGTGTCTATACCAGAAGTTTTTCATCTTTTTAGATGCTACAAACCCCCAAATATGATTATTCTTGTGTGGCTGACCCCCTTCCTAAAAGTTAAAAGGAATCTATCTGTTATAAGCACCCCATTTATACACTAAAAATGTATTAAACATCTAAAATAATTGTATTATTTAGTTACATTATTATACTGTATATTCTTTTCTACTCACTATTCATTTTTTCTATTTATATTCATGTGTGTTTTCATGTGTTTATTTGCTGATCTTTAGTGAAGTGCATTTTTATAGATATTTTTACACATGTGTACTTTTTACATTTTTTTTTTGCAATAGTTTCAGATTGTCCAGAGCAGCATGATGAGGGGCATGACTACAGAAAAGATTGAACCCAGGTGTGGTAGATATAATCATTTATCATGAAGATTGTATGAGTATCTTGTTAATACAAGGTGTTTTATTTATTGTGTGTTTAATGTTTAATCTAGAGACTTGGATCCTGTGTTATGTGAGGTTACCTTAATGAACTCAAGAGCCGAGCTATACTTTCGATTCTTGAGGCGGCGTATTGTTGCTGACTTTGAGGTTGCAGATGCAATGGCAGATGAAACCGTTATACAAGGTAACACCTAACTTTTCATGGTATGTGATATGAAATTACTATATGAAAATAATTTCTAAAGCAAGTACATAACTCCAACTGCCATCAGATGTAGCCTAACTGTTAGCACACTGCTGCTGCTTATTAAGCTACGGTGCTCATTCAGGCATCACAATATTATTGCATCTCCCTTCTTGATCCTATTTCTCCCCATAATTGTCTGTTAAAGAACAAAATGCATGTAACTCTAGGGTATAGAAATTGAGCTTGTAGTTCAGTGTTGATTCAGTATAGTATGTTGAATATGTTGGTTTTTAAAAATGTATACTCGTACTCAACATTTGCTTGTATTGTTAATATTTGTTTTGTTGTTTTCTAGAGCATCAGAAGAGTTTAGAACAGTTACTGAAAGATTGTCAGCTGAGCCGCGCTATGCAGGAGCTGATTGGCTATTACATTCCCATGGAGGAGTATTACATGAGAGAGTCTGTCAACAAGGTGCGCCACATATACACTCAATTATTTCATGCTGTCGTGTGTGAATGTACTGGTGCTTTATCATACCTGAATAAGAGATTAATGTCAGGCAAATGCACACTCCTATTCAAAAGTTTTTTTGTTTTTTTTTTAAATAAATTAAATTAAATTAATTATTGTATTGAGCAAGGAAGTAGAGCTGCATGATTCTGGATAAATTGAACAAATCTCTTAAATGAATGATTCAATGACAAATACATTTTTTACATTCACTTGTCGCCACCTACTGGTGAAACGATGTAATTGATATAATCTTTATTTGAAGCGCCAAGTTTATTTTAAAAAGTGATTTACTCTGTTTTGATTGCTACAGTAGACAGTATATCTTAATTATAAACTTTTGTCCTAGTACTTCTGTGATTTATTTGAATTATTGTAACAGAATTAATGATACTGTGTGTGGTTTCATACCTATATATGGTAACTGCTCTCTCTGGGTCAGTGGAAGCGCGAACACAGATTTGAATATTCAAAGGAATTGTAGCAGATGGCGATCCTCCCTAAGATGGCGGCACCGCCCCAGCATGCAACGAAGCGTGACACGATTTTCCTTTCTCTATAGACATAGCCAATTCGTTGTCATTTAGGAATAAGCTCATGTGGGTGTTTGAATGAAAATCACAAGCGTTTAACGGTTAATCATGCAGCTCTGCATTAAGTTGATCAAAAGTGACTGCAAAGATGTTTACATTGTTACAAAAGATTAATATTTTAAAATAAATGCAGTTCTTTTGAACTTTCTATTAATCAAAGAATCCTGAAAAAGTGTGTCATGATTTGCACAGAAATAAAGCAGCACAACCATTTTCAATGGTGATCATAAATGTTTCTTGAGCACCAAATCAGTGTATTAAAATAGGATCATGTGACACTGAAAACTGATGAGAATTCAGCTTTGCCAACACAGGAGTAAATTACAAGTTAATATATATATTCAAATAAAAAAGTTATATTATTAAATGTAATAATGGTTTGCAATATTACTGTTTAACTTGATCAAATGCACGAACCCTTGGTGAGCAAGCATAAGAAACTGTTAAACACATTTAAAAAAAATCATATACCGACCCCAAAATGTTGAACTGTACATTACTACATTTTCTCATGTTCATCTATCTGTTGTTTTGATTTTGCCATCAGCTAAATTGCAGATACATTTTTTTTTGGCAGAATTAATGTCAAGTCGCTTTTTATTGCGCTTTTATACAATATGATATGATTTCAAAGCAGCTT